GGCTATAAGATTATTATACAGAAAAGTAAGTGCATCATTAGGATTTCCTAACGTATAGATGTGATTCCAGTCGATGAGATTGAGATCTACTTGAAAAAGGTTAAAGTCAAATTTAGTAGTCTCGATAAGTGATGTACTTAATGTGATTAGGAATGTCGATTGATTTGATAATACAACTAATCATGAGATGGTCATCATATCATTGGCCCCTTTTTCATTGAGGGCACCTTGAATGGCGATAATTATTTGGCACTACTTATATAAAATTCATAATTGATCCAGGAAAACCTGGATCAATTTCTTCTTCTTGCTACTAAACAATGATATCAATAGTTTTTATTCAGCTGGGACGATAACCTGTTAAACAATAAAACAGTAGATGTGAAAAATTAAGAGAATTGTCGAAATTCTCAAATATCTTACGTCTTTTCGATTCAATTTATGAATATCTATTTTTATTCACAAATCCCAACATTACGAAACGTTACTATTTTATGAAAAAGGAAGAGGGGATATGAAAAACACTGCAATCTATATGCCGTACTTCTCAAGAGTTAAAAATACTCAACACGCCAGGAAGCACAGCAGCATTTCATGAAATATTCTTCGCAACAAATTTCTTTATCTCAGTTTGATTATCATGCCCACAAGAAACTGATTATACCTCAATATGTTTTACAAAACCCACACTGCTCATTCTTCATTAGTTTTCCAGAAGCCATTGAGGAAGTTGATTACCTATACAAAGTGTTTCTAAATGTCGTTCCACTTTGTTATCATGTGTTTGGCAATTGCGAACAGCGAGATTATGAGAACTGTAAGGCGAAAACTTTTTTATTTTTCTAATATATCATTGAGTATGAGGAATATTTATTATCTCTTCATAAATGTCATCACAGCATATGAACTACTTTAACAGTTGAAGTATTGGATATTTTGAATCGATTTTCTCATGTCGTTATATGAATATTCGAACAGTATCATATTTGTCAGCTAATTCACAATGATATTTGAATGGAAGTTCTGCTGCCCTATTTTATACAGATTATTGCGGTTGTTGTGATGTACTAAGTTTTATGATGAATCGTATCTATACTTGAAATATATAGAAATGAACGAAGTGTGCTTTTAGAACAGGGGTGAAGCCTTCAAAAATGGTGAAAAGTGAAAACAAAAATAATAGTAGGATGAAACACATCAGAAAAGGAGAAACATATGATAAAAATTAGAGGAAAAATAAATTACGGGCGATCTGAGTTCGGGAAGTGGTAGGGGGTGACTTTTTAAGGGTAAAAAAAGGTTCAAATTTCCGCTAAAAGTACAAGACCTATGGAAAAGAGTTAAATGGTAAAGTTGTAAGTTTTATAAATTTCATTTCTAACTTCTATTCTTGTAATACAAAACTGGTGAATAGTGTGCTATTTTAAGAATATTAGTTATTCAAAGTTTTACAATTTTTCAGGAAGCATCAATGGTTCAAGAAAGAGGTAATATAATCAATAGAAATATGCAAGTATATTGTTAATTGATGTTACATTTTGCAGAGGAACATATTAAAAATAGCGACAAGCAATGTAACACGTCTGTTTGTAAAGAGGCTGTGGCAAAAATGCTTTCTTCAATCAACTACTATGCTGATCCTTGCGAAGAATTTCATGAGTATATTTGTGGAAATCAGATAACGGATAACAAACCAATGTCCAAAAAACATTTGGGCCTGCTTCGTCGGTATTTCAAGAAAAACGGTAATGCACAATCTGAAAAATATATACTTGATTTCCGAAGATTTTACGAAAGCTGCATTGCCTTCGATCCGACCTTCGATTTCATTGAAAATATGAAGTTCAGTAAGTATGAATATATCATAAAATTTTACGGTCAAAATATTTCACTCAGAAGGGATATCTTATCTTTCGGTGACTTCCTTAATTGTTGTTTTCATTTCAAATCATTATCTGTATCTGTAGAGTAGGGAAGGTGAGTGAAAACCCACAGTACTCAGGCCACATGTGACCCATTGTACATCCTCCCAAGGAGTTGTCCTCCCAGGTCATCGTCCAGCCTGTCCTTTCCAGGAAGGTGGACAGATCGCTGAGAGACATCTCCTTTATATCTAGGTTAGTGGACGCACCACCTACATGTAATTTTTCCAATGTAATTTTTTGTCTTATTATTTGTTTACCATTTGAACATTCATTTCCGATAGCCTGTTTCATTCTAAACAAAAAATGTCTCTTGGGTGTTTTGCCCAAAATGAACCAGTTCGCAGTAAAAAATTATTTTACGAACAACTACAGAGATACATCGTCATAAATGCGAACTGGATTTATTGTTATTTTGTAACGTGTTAGGAATCACACGTTGAAAGGTAAGACCTCGTTGGTCCTTAGCTCGCACAAGTTTCTCAACTTCTGAGAGTTGTCGTTCGTTTGGGGGCGGCAGCTGATTAACGGAAAAACATATTTAAAAACAGTTAGTACCTGCATTAAACGATTAAAGGGTAATAAACAAAACTGATTTATTAATAAAAAAAACACACAACATGTAGAAATCATAGTAAATGTTCAATATGTCTACCTTCAGACATTACGCATGCGTCTAGACTCTCTGATTACCCTGCACGCATCGATGATGCGGTTTCTTAAGTTCTCTGCATCGCGAACAGGAATACTTTGAACCAAAGCTGTAAATGTCCCGAAATAGAGAAATCAAGAGGATTGAGATCCGGGGATCGAGCGGGCCAGTTCTGTGGTCCTTCTCGACTTATCCACTGATTTGCAAATGTTTCAGTTGAAAGCTGGCGTGCTACTTGACTAAAATGAGCGGTAGCCCCATCATGCATAAAAAACATATCCCTTCTGACGCCCAAACGAACTTCCTCCAGCAGTACTGGATGCACTTCTCTTAAAAATTGAACGTATGCCTCACCATTTAATCGAGGAGGTGGAAAATGGGGCCCAATTAAATCATTCCCAATAACTCCGAGCCACACGTTAAGAGAAAACTGTTCTTAATGGTTAGTTTCAACAATAGCGTGAGGGTTTTCATCAGCCCATATGTGGTAATTATGAAAATCAAT